AGTTCACACCACCACAAGTCATCCATTGTGTTCCACTGCTGGTTATGTTGAAGAAACTGCTGTAAAGCCAGTATATGAAAAAGAATCAGAAGGACTTGTGCTATTTAGCTCAGCAGTTCCTTCAGAAGATTCCTGTTTCAGGTTGTCTGGTTACATTTTCAGTGGAGTGGAAGAGTCAGGCGCACCGACACAAATGCACTCCAACCTGACTGCAAGGGAATGCAGAGCTGAACAGGGGAGGTCCTTGGTGCTGCTCACTGCATAGCAATGCCATTTTACACAAGAAAGTTCAGTCATGCTCTAAGCAGCAAATCCTTCTAGCACACATTTAAAATCACAACCATTACAAAACAACAACAAAAGAAACAGAGGATGCACGTTTGCACTATGCATTGAAGTGTTGCTACCAATAAACAACCGGCAGGGTGTTCAAACACAGTTATTAATGGGAGTCTGTTTACAGTAGGCCTACTCTATTAGGAACACAAGCAGAGTAGCACTTTAAACCAAACATGAATGAAAAAGCTTGCAAGGCCCAGAATGCTAGTATCATTTTGGTGTGAATGTATTTGGAACAGTAAATTGTACATGAAGATCATGTTTAAAAAGCCAACATATCAGAAATATATTAAAGCAAAGAAAGCTGTACAACCTTAATGATAAAGGCAAGTATATTTGGTTCACCTCCGAGTTGTCATTTCAGTAACATACCCTTTTGCCAGTTGAGCACCCTAGGTTGAATCAGTATCTATTAGTCCTGTTGACTTAACCTGTATTTGAAAGACTATTAAAAAAACCTCTAACATGCTAAGATTCCCAGTCCGGCCAACACTTAAATCTCTACTTACCCTCATCAAGTATCAGTTCAAATCACATGAGCTGGATAAGAGTGGAAGGCAGTCATCTTTCTTTGTTCTGTTGCCTCTAAAACAATGCAGGTACATATGACTAACAGGGAAATTCAGCTCTTTGTTTTCAACAGAAAAAAAGACTCTGTGCTCCTTGGAATAAAAAAGTGTAAGGAGTGTTAGTTACATACATTAAGTTACAGACACTGATTGTTCACAACTAGATCAGGTCCCACAAGGCTTGCTTTACAGCTGTTTAATTTATAGCTGCAAGTATATGTCTTTTTTTTTTTTTAAAGATTTCATAACCTTTGGAAGTGAAAATTTTCTAGATACAAGCAGCTTTGCCTAGAAGAAGAGCTGTTTAATTTATAGCTGCAAGTATATGTTTTTTGTTTTTTTTTTAAAGATTTCATAACCTTCGGAAGTGAAAATTTTCTAGACACAAGCAGCTTTGCACAGAAGAAGAATACATAGTGTCAGTAAACTGACTTTCAACTACCAGTTTCTCTAGGCTGACATGAAGAGTTAAGGGAAGATTCCCTCCCTGTCCAAAGCAAAAAGATTTACAAGTATATTAGTGGAAATAGATGAAAATAAAGCCAAAATTAGAAGAAACATTCATCTACTGTTATACAAACTCATGGCATTGTTCCAAAGAAACATGGAAGGCAATGAGACAAGTTCCCATTTTTCAGCTGTTCTGTCCCTATGTTCTCATAGAATGCATGTTTTTTATGTACTAAAGAATAGTTCAAGCGAATGTACAGAACTGCTAATTCAATTTTAGAGTAGCATTACACAGG